AGAAGAAACTTGTCTCCCCCCTCTCCCCCCCCTCCTCTCTCTCTCTCTCTCTCTCTCTCTCTCTCTCTCTCTCTCTCTCTCTCTCTCTCTCTCTCTCTCTCTCCTCTCTCTCTCTCTCTCTCTCCCCCTCCCTCTCTCCCTCCCTCCCTCCCTCCCCATCCTTCCTTCCTTACTTATTTCCTCATCTTTAGTTCGCACTCCTTTCCTGTCTCTCTCCTCCCACCCCTTTCCAGTTTTTCTCCCTCTCCCTCTCCCCCTTCCACGCTTTCCTCCCCCCATCGAACCCAGCGAGTGTCCACCCTCCCCCCCCCCTGCGGCCAAGCGAGCACTGATCCCAAGACCTGCGAGTACTCACTGAGACGCGGATCATTGCTTTTCGGGATTGCATTTTCTCTGTCTGCGGTTGTCATGGCAACCGGGCAATTGCAGCCTCCGTCCCGTGGGAGATGAGGGGAAATGAAGACGGGAATTTGAGGCAGGGAGGGACTTGGCGGAGGAGAGGGGGGGAGGGAGAAATTGGGTTGAGGAAGAGGGGTGGGGGGGAAGGGAGGGAGGTAGGGATGCAGGGGAAGGGAGGGAGGGAAAAGGGGTGGAGGGGAGGGATAGGAGGGACAAGCAAGGGCGGGAGGAAGGGGAGAGGGAAGAAGGAAGGGAAGGACGGAGGGAGAGAGGGGTACGGTAGAGGAAGGATAAGGTTAGAGAGAGAGAGAGAGAGAGAGAGAGAGAGAGAGAGAGAGAGAGAGAGAGAGAGAGAGAATTAGAGAGAGAGAGAGAAAGAATGAGAGAGAGAGAGAAAGAATGAGAGAGATAGAAAAAAGAATGAGAGAGATAGAAAAAGAAAGAGAGAGATAGAAAAAGAAAGAGAGATGGAGAAAAGATGAGAGAGATAGAGAATATAAAAAAGAGCGAAAAAAATCTCAGTAACAAAACAAATCTAAAAAAAAACCCGAAAACCGAGCTTCCCCCCTCCCCCTCCCCCACGCCCGCCCAGAGAGGGTTCTGGGCGCCCATCCGCGGGAGACTCAAACCTCGGTGTAATATCTGTTAGCTTGCGGTTATGGCCTATTATGTAAAGTTAATTACAGACTAACTATATGCGGTCTCAGATCCTCGTGCCCGAGCGCTCCTCGTAACTCCAGGGGGGGAGTGGAGAGGGGGGGAGAGAGGGAAGGAGGGGGGAGGGAGGGAAGGGAGGGGGGAGGGAAGGAGGGAGGGAAGGGAGGGGGGAGGGGGAGGGAAGTAAGGTGAGGGAGAGGGGGCAAGAGAGAGTGAACGAGAGAGGGAGAAAGAGAGGAGGAAGTGGGAGAAGAGGGGGGAGGGGTGATTCGGGGAGGTGGGGGGGAAGTAAGAAGAGGGGGAGCGAGGAAGCAAATGGGGGGGGGGGGCAAGAGGAGGGAATGAGAGGGGGGGTGGGGATGAAACGAAATGGGGGAGGATAGGGGGAGGAGGGGGAGGGTAGTAAGGTATGTGTGTAAAGAGGAAGAAGAGGTAAAGATGATGATGCATGAGAAAGGAAACCAGAGGGAAGAGGAGGAAGGGAAAACAAATGCAGTGAATGGGAAAAACGAATAACAAGGAACACACACAAAAATAAATACAAGGAATTGAGAAAGAAGGAAATAATTGTAAGAAAACTTTGTGGGAACAGACAAGAGTGAGTAAGCAAGCAAGCAAGCAAGCAAAAGAAAGAAAGAAAGAAAGAAAGAAAGAAAGATAGATAGATAGATAAAAAATAAAAAGAGGAAATAAAAAACTTCTTTATTATTTCCTTTCTATTATAAATCTGACAATTGTCACGAAGTTTCCCCCAAGTTTCCAACCTCATAAAACTCCATTCCCTCCCTCCTCACTTTCCGAAGAATCTAGCTGCTGCCTCATTTTGACCCTCCTCCCCTCTTCCCCAAAAAAAGAAAACGAAAAAGAAAAAAAAATCTACCTTATTCGATCCAACTCATAAATCGTGTCACTCACTGTCACTTCTCCCTCTTTCTCTCCCTTCGTCCCTTCTCCCTGACCCAGTCCGACTCGCACCTCACGTCACTCACTTCTCCCTCTCCCTCTCCCTGACCCAATGCAAATCACGAGTCGCGTCACTCACTCCTCCCTCTCCCTCTCCCGCGCCCAGTCAGCCTCACGAGTCGCGTCACTCACTTCTCCCTCGCCCAGTCAGCCTCACGAGTCGCATCACTCACTCCTCCCTCTCCCTCGCCCAGTCAGCCTCACGAGTCGCGTCACTCACTTCTCCCTCGCCCAGTCCGCCTCACGAGTCGCGTCACTTACTCCTCCCTCTCCCTCCCCCTTCCCAAGTCCGCCTTACGCCTCACGCACTCATTTCTCCCTTTCCCTTTCCCTGACCCAATCGAACTCACGAGTCGCGTCACTCACTTCTCCCTTTATCTCCCCCTGACCCATTCCAACTCACGAGTCGCGTCACTCATTTCTCCTTTTCTCTCCCCCTGACCCATTCCAACTCACGCCTCACGCCTCCCTTCCCCCGCAG